AGAAAGAGGAACCTCATGTAATAAGAAATGCAAATAGGAAAAGGGAAAAGAGAAATATGGAGAACTCGCCTAGCAGCACGACGCTGCTTGTATTGCTCTCCCTGTTCCCATTTCGCTCGCCGCTACTACGGGAATCGCTTTTGCTTTCTTTTCCTCTGGCTACTAAGATGTTTCAGTTCGCCAGGTTGTCTCTTGCCTGCCCATGGATTCAGCAGCAGTTCAAAAGGTTGACCTATTGCTTAAGAATAAGAAAGACAATTGGGATTTTTTTGGAAATTGGATGCAGTTACCAATTCATGATCTGGCATGAGAAAGACATCACTATACCACCTATGGATCAAAAGAGAGGCTATGTTGGTTAGTCATCGTTGTACTTACATGGGTTTGGTCTGCCGGAAAGTATAACTACCGATCTGCCGGAAAGTATAACTACCGATCGCAGTTCACATATACATCGTTCGGCACTAAGACTTACATCCATGTAGAAAAAGCCACTAAGGGCTTGAGGTACCATGATTAGTGGAGGATTTTGCTCCACCTATTTATAATTGGAAGGAAATGATCGAATTACCATGATTGGTGAAAGATTTTGCTCCACAATTATTTAGAAATATTTATATATTTCAACACTTGCCCTCAAGTTGAAGTATGAATCACATGAATGCCTAACTTGCTAAAAAATAAGCTTTGAAATATGATAAAAAGGTGTCCCGAACAAAACCGAAATAACGCCGCCAGGAAAAGCCGAAACTAAACCGGGAAATGGCCGAAAGGAAAATTGCCAGAACAACGCTGGGAAAAGCCTGAGCAAATGAATGTGAAGACATAAAGAATATGTTCCATGATAATAATTCCAATACCCCCCTCAAATTTTAGATGGCATTACAAGAACAACATGGCTATGATATTATATTAAATTTTAAATGCAAAAATAAGAAATGCAAATAGGAGAAGGGAAGAGAGAAATATGGAGAACTCAGGTATATACATGGTTCGACACTAAAACCTACATTGATAGATAAAAAGCCACTAAGGCCTACATTTTTATTATTGAGATCTGTATATTCCTTCAGTACAAGGAGCCTATATATAGGCATGGTAAATATAAGAATATATGGAAGGTGCACAATAATCAAAGGAGGCACCATGATTGATGGAGGATTTTGCCCCACCGTTATATAGAATTATTTATAATAAAAGGAAATTGACCAGATCACCATGATTGGTGGAGAATTTTGCTCCACTGTTATATAGAAATATTATAATGAAATGAAATTGACCGGATCACCATGATTTGTGAAAATTTTGCTCCACCGTTATATAGAAATATTTATAATGAAAGGAAATTGACCGGATTACCATAATTGGTAGAGAATTTTGCTCCACCGTTATATAGAAATATTTATGGTAAAATGAAATTGATCGGATCACTATGATTTGTGGAGAATTTTGCTCCACAATTATATAAAAATATTTATATATTTACATATTTCAACATTAACTTTATTTATTAAGTCAACCTTATATTATAAGGGGTATATAGAGAAAGAAATACTTCTTGTTCGATAAAATTAAAGGACTTCCCTATATTCCTTATAAAATTTTAGTATACTTGTGTAGTAATAAAATTGAAAATTTATCTGTTTGATCCCATCCTACCAAACAACAGAAGTGCCGTCAAATTGTTCCTTTCAACACAACTAAACAAAACAAGAGGACACTTTCCTTCTCTACCATGATCCTGTTTCCTTCGGTTCACTTTTTTATACAATTCCGATTCATGGTTGGTTTCTTGTTGCAACAAGGAAAATGAAAAAGTGGGATAAAAAGAAAATGAAAAAGTAAGATAAAAAGAAAATGACTTTTTTGTATTTTGTACCTGTACGTGTGGTCATTTGGTTCAAAATCAACTATCAAAGCCACATCAAAGAAAATGACTTTTTAAAAAATATATATATATATTCTGAAAAAAAAAAAAAAAAAAAACCGATCAAAGCCACGTCAGCATGGTTATAAAATTCCAGTGTCCCAGTTGTGTACGCGTTGACGGTGGAAAAAATGCAGTTCATTTTTCACATTTTCTGATGTCAAATTTATTAAATAAATAAACAATGCTGACTCAGCACGTAGAATTCTAACTGGATAAAACCTGTTAATAGCGTGCTAAAATCACACACTTCAGAGTAAGAAAATTTTGATTCCTAAATCCCAAAGTGACTAGATATCCAATCACTCCTTTGTCATAGATTTGACAAAACCAAATATATTGTAACCAGTAAACCATATATATATACATATATATATATATTTCTGATCTCTTGTTTCTTATGTGTTCGTTTGATTATTCATATGGATGAAAATTAATATAATATTTATTTTTTACTATCTATACAAATTTGAACTGAATAGAGTTTTATATTATATGATTTTGAAAAGAAAAATTTGCATAAAAGTGGTTCATATTCATAAAAAATATAAAGGGGACTGATAAATTATGCATGAACCATAAAATTATTATGCATGAATTATAAAATATATTACTTTCGCATGACAATTTTTATCCTAGAGTTGTCATTTAATGTTTCTTTGAGGGGGCTTAAAAAAAGATATTTTTAATAATTCAATAAAATATGAGTATGTTATCATAAATGAACTATATTCTACATATAAATATAAATAATTATTCTTGAAAACAGAAAATAAAAAGAATCTGACAACTAAAATGCAATCCTCCTTAATTTGTCTAATTTAAATATGAATATAAATAATAATAATAATTATTATTATTAATCCATTATTTTACTACTTAATTGCCAATAATTAATATAAATAATTGGGTATAGAATAATATTTGAAATCACGAGGGTAGTTTTGGTAAGTAAATCATTTTCTTTTCCCTTTTATACTATTCAAACTAATAAAATAATATTTTCTCACAACTTTATTGAAATTTTTTATTGCTAACCAAATGCATGCAGGAAATTTGATTTTTTGATCTTTCACTTTCACTTTCACTTTCATTTTCTATTATAAATTTTCGTCTAACCAAACGGACCCTATAGAGTAAAAAAATTAATTCACATTTTCTATATAAACCGTTAGATCAAATCTAACGGTCATATTTCAAACTCACCTTTAGCCTTTCCTTTTAACACAAAATCATTCTCACCCTATTTTTAGTTTCTATATTTAATTTTACTATTACCACATACATAACAATAAAAGGTAATTATTAACTCTCTTTCTTCATTTCTTCGTGTGTTGAATTTGAATTCATTGACAAAAGTGTAAACAAATAATTACTCTCTATAGATAAAGTTGTGACAAGAGTTTCACTCATTTTTTTTGGTTACCTTATTATTTCTAAGGTGGATTATACAGTCCTACCATAGTCAGTACATCATCATCATCCAATAATCAAATTCACAAATTCACAGATTCAATAATGAATTTCACTAAATGCCCAACTTCAAATTGAAATAGAAAGGATTTTTGTTCAAACTTTAAATGAAATTTTCTTCAATTTCAATAAATCAATTCCATATCACAAAATGCAATGTTACAGTATATTTGTTGGTAAATTTACTTATACTAGAGAAGTATATTAATTTACTTATACTAAGAATAATAAGATTTTTTTAGAAAAAAACTATAATATCATACTTTTGTTACAAAATTGAAAACTACAAGTATTGTTTTTCTTTCAAAGAAACATCTAAATAAAAACAATTTTTTAAGTAAAATATACTAGTATTATTTTTTTTTAAAGATTTCTATTTTTATTTTGATAATTACCTTTTATTGTTAATAGGTGATAATGGTAAAATTAAAAATAGAGTGAGAGTGGTTTTGTGTTAAAAAGAAATATCGTAGGTGGGTTTGAAAAATGACCGTTAAATTAAATCTAACGGTCTATATAAAAAGTGTGAATTAATTTTCTTGCTCCATAGGGAGTAAGAGATTATGATTCATATATGTATAAATATATATATTTACAAGAAAAAAAAGATAAAAAAAAGAAAAAAAAAAAAGAAAAAAAAAAAAGGTAAATTGTACAACATTGTTTAAAAACGACAAACAAGAGATGTTAAAATAATGACTCACGGTTCCATTCGGGTAGTTCATAACTACAAAGTTAATTCCCAATGATATACGTTTCACATTATGGGTTCAAAATGAAAAATGATAAAAACGATAAAGTTATTATTATTATTTTTTTTTTCAATTGACAAGAAATTTATGTACCCCTATTTTGTCCCTACAAAGATTACTCACCATTTTCAGATACTGCAGGCCAACAGCCATTAACAGCCTATCACTACTCAATATGAAATAAAGGAATCAAAGGGCCTCGTGGTGAAAATTTATTAGTTACAACATATGTAGTACGGTGCTTGTATCATCTAAGTCACACAATTTTCTTTTACGATTATTATTCTTACGCTCTAATTCTGTTTTTACTCTCACGTTCTGCACGCATTTTCGCTTCCTTCACTATTATTTGTGACTTAATTTTATTATTTTCGCATTCCTGTTCTCGTTCATGCTTTATGTAACTTAAGGTACAACCAATCAACAAATAAAACTATCGTAACCATTTTGTTTTTCGCCCTTGTGACCTAGTGGGATCTACCGGAAAAAAAATTGATTGTATACTGTATACGGAATACTGAGCACACCGAACCGTTCATTACTGCACGTGTAATACACGCAGCAGCAGCTGGTGTTGTGTATTTTCTTGCCTATAATAAAAAATATATACTGTATATATATTACATATATATATATATATATTAAACAAAAGAGCAAATGGGTAATGGACACGTGGCATAGTGATGAAAGAGGTGTGGTCCCGGAGGTGATGGGAGAATCAGAGTGGAGCCGGTGACCGGTAATTGAAGCGAGGATACGTCGCCGCTTGGATGGGGTCCTTACTTGTCAAGTCTACTATAAATACGTGGCGATTGAAGCGGTGTCCAAATACACTCATTCCCATACAAACCAACACCTCTGTCTCTCTCTCTCTCTCTCTATTTACTTCTTCTCCCATGTCTCCAACAAAGTTGCATCAATAACCTCACCCTCTTTTCGATCCTCAATTTTCTCTCTCTAACTTTCCCTCTCTAAATTCTCTATCTAAATTTGTATATCTCTAAATTCTTCTTCTAAGTCTAAGTTTGTGCTTATCAGTGAGTTAAAAACAGTTCCAACAATTAAACATGTGTGGGATACTTGCCGTTTTGGGCTGCTCAGATGAGTCTCAGGCCAAAAGGGTTCGAGTCCTCGAACTCTCTCGCAGGCAATTTCCCTTCTTTCTCTTCAATTTTTTTTTTTTTTTTCCTTTTTCTTATCTTAATCTCTATATACCATTTTTAGATTTTGCCATCATTTTTTCTTTTCTCACTAATAATTTGTATTATAGTATGTGTTACTTCTACATGAGTGCTAAAATTGAAAGATTATCTAACTTCGTAATTGTTACCGCTCCAATTTTTACCTTTGGAAAAAGTTTATGCCATCTAAGCTAGAATTTATGGGTAAGAATTTTTACCTATGTAACAATGCATGACCGCTTTGTCTGTATTATATAATATACATATAATTCTTTCAAGATAAAAAGTTAGTACCATGTGTAGACAAAATTATCAACAACTTCACTTATCCCACATTTGAGGAGAGAGAAATATTGATAATCATCAATCTCACCAGTTGGTATATATATATATATATATATATATCGGTGGGTAAACCTGCATATTTTGATTATATTTGTTGAAAAAAACTGCTATTTCACTCGCATACATGAAGCCGGACCCAGTTTGATTTATATGAGCAACTTTCATTATTTTATGAAAAATATCTGTAAAGGGTCACTTGAATCATCAATTCAATCCCCTTTCCATCAGTAATATAAAATATTATAGATATACATATATGGGACCCATTTCTCAAAATTACTGTATTTGGTAGCAAGACTCTGTTAATCACTCATTAAGGCATATTAAAATGTTGAATTTCTTTTTACCATCATATATTGATCAATTTCATTAGAAGTTTATGTAATTAATAGTCTTATATTCATTCAAAATCAAATGGAGGAAAGGAGTACATATCTTACTGCACCAGAATCTGATACACCATATACATGCAAATTGAATTACAATTTTATATATGTATTAGATTGAAGCATCGCGGTCCAGACTGGAGTGGGCTATACCAGTATGGTGACTGTTATTTAGCTCATCAACGGCTAGCGATCATCGATCCTGCTTCCGGTGATCAGCCTCTCTTCAATGAGGACAAGTCCATAGTCGTCACTGTAAGTCGTTTGTCAATGCTTTTAAAAAATTTGTTGTCAATTTTGTTCTTTTTCTTTTTCTTAATTTTCAGATGGACCAAATTGCTACAATTATTGGTTGATGGGTTAATATTATATGTTGAAAACCAGGTAAATGGAGAGATATACAATCATGAGCAGCTAAGAAAGAGTTTGCCCAATCACAAGTTTCACACTGGAAGTGATTGTGATGTCATTGCCCATCTGGTGAGCAATTTCATTAGCATATTATATAGTTTGGATGTAAAATATTTTTCAAAAAAATGTTTTTTTATTTTATGATGTTTTGTTGTCGCAGAATATTTATGAAGAAAAAACATATTAAAATTTAATAAAAATAACTTATCCATTAATTTTCGGCAAGTTATTTTACATGTCCAGCCCGATAGATTTGAACTCAATCTTGACGTAAACCTTTGTCAAACATAAAAAAAAGTAAAATAAAATAATATTTTATCTAAAAAATGAAAATATTTTCCAAAAAAAATATTATACGTCGAAACAAGTGGATTTCAGTTCATTGTTAAAATTTGATTTTTTACTGTCAGTGAAATCTGAAAGGCTTGCGAGTTCTTGATTCGTGATTGATTTTATATATATTTTTTCGTTTAATTACAATTAATTGAGCTAATTGTGGTGTTTAATCACTGTTCCTTAGTATGAAGAACATGGGGAAAATTTTGTGGACATGTTGGATGGAATGTTTTCGTTTGTGTTACTTGACACCCGTGACAACAGCTTCATTGTTGCTCGTGATGCTATTGGGATCACTTCCCTCTATATTGGTTGGGGACTTGATGGTAATAATTCATTGGGTCATATAATAAGTTTGATTTGTTGGTATGTCTAGCTCTAAGAACTGAATAAGGATTATACTTGGTCTATTTGTCTTCAGGGTCTGTTTGGATTTCATCCGAACTGAAAGGTTTGAATGATGATTGTGAGCATTTCGAGAGCTTTCCTCCTGGTCACTTATACTCCAGCAAACAAGGCGGTCTTCGCAGATGGTACAACCCTCCTTGGTTCTCCGAGGCCATTCCATCAACCCCATATGATCCACTTGTTCTCAGACGTGCTTTTGAGAATGTGAGATTCATGAATTTTAGAACCTATTTCATAACAATATCGAGTCTTTTTTCAGTTACGAAACTATAATACTGATAGAATTTGCATGGATGGTTATGTCTTGGTTGCAATATGTGCAGGCTGTAATTAAGAGGCTAATGACTGATGTGCCTTTCGGAGTTCTGCTATCCGGAGGCCTAGATTCATCGTTGGTTGCCTCTATCACTGCCCGCCATTTGGCAGGCACAAGGGCTGCCAAGCAATGGGGCACACAACTCCATTCCTTCTGTGTTGGTCTTGAGGTAAGTCCTGAAAATTATTGCTTCAGAGGATTGTTTTTTTTTTTTTTTCCCGGGTAAAATAGTTTTTGAGGAGTTGCCTTTAGTCTTTATACCAATCTCTTAATTGGTTGAGCAGGGTTCACCAGATTTGAAGGCTGCAAAAGAAGTTGCGGATTATTTGGGAACCGTTCACCATGAGTTTCATTTTACTGTTCAGGTATTGCTGCAATCATAGTTTTGCGAAGATCAAGTTCTTAGGTTCTTCCATTTTGAAAATTTTAATAATCACTAGTTGTGAATTTGTCTCTGGATTGTGGCAGGATGGCATTGATGCCATTGAAGATGTTATTTATCATATCGAAACATATGACGTGACAACAATCAGAGCAAGCACCCCTATGTTCCTTATGTCGCGTAAAATTAAGTCGCTAGGAGTGAAGATGGTCATTTCTGGTGAAGGCTCTGACGAGATTTTTGGTGGATACTTGTACTTCCACAAGGCACCTAACAAGGAAGAGTTCCACCATGAGACATGTCGCAAGGTAACAAATGTTATATGGCAACTTGCTTCTCTACACATGATTGGAAGCCGTGATTATACCAGTAAATTGATGTTCTCTTTGTATTCTCCTCTGCAGATAAAGGCCCTCCACCAGTATGATTGCTTGAGGGCTAATAAATCATCATCTGCCTGGGGGTTGGAAGCTCGTGTCCCCTTCTTGGACAAGGAATTCATCAACGTTGCAATGAGCATTGACCCCGAGTGGAAGATGGTATGGTTATCGATCGAATTGCTTGTTTTTATATGAACACGCAAAATTTCTGAAATTGATCATGTGGGTTTCTCTGAATCTTCCAAATTCCTTTCAGATTAAGCGAGACGAAGGCCGCATGGAAAAGTGGGTTCTGAGGAAGGCCTTTGATGACGTAGAGCATCCCTATCTGCCAAAGGTCTAGAATGCTAATTTTCCTCTTGATTCGGTGTGTATTGCTCAACATCAAGCACTTAAACTGACATGTTCTGTTTTATGCCCTGCAGCATATTCTCTATAGGCAGAAGGAGCAATTCAGCGACGGTGTCGGCTACAGTTGGATTGATGGCCTCAAAGCCCATGCGGCACTACATGTATGTGTCTCTGTGTGTGTGTGTATAGACAGAGATTCTTACTGATTGTTAAAGGCAAACCCAGTGCACGAATATCCCGCCATTGTGGGATCTGTGGAGGGTCAAATATACATAGATTGTGACGTCTTGTTAATGCTTTTAATTATGGAAAGTTCTATGATTGGTATGAATAGTTGATGCTTAAACTTTCATTTTCAGGTGACTGATAAAATGATGTTTAAAGCGGCAAATATCTTCCCCCATAACACCCCAACCACAAAGGAAGCTTACTACTACAGAATGATTTTTGAGAGGTTCTTCCCACAGGTGATCAGTTTGAACCAATCACAAAACAAGCTCAAATGTTAGTCATCTTCATGTTCATGGAACACTAAACTCAATTGTGTCAATTTTCTTCTTGTTGGTTCTGCAGAACCCGGCCAGGCAAACTGTCCCGGGAGGAGCAAGTGTGGCATGCAGCACGGCCAAAGCTATCGAGTGGGATGCTTCTTGGTCGAACAACCTCGATCCTTCTGGCAGAGCAGCACTGGGTGTCCATCTTTCAGCTTATGACAACAAACCACCTGCCGCTGCTAACGGAAATTTGATGCCAAAAATCATCGACAACGTGCCGCAGATAATGGAAGTTGGTGCTCCGGGACTCACAATCCGAAGCTAATGTCCATTCTGGAGGACGGTTCATATGTGCGAGTTTTAGGGTAGAACTTGCAGCATATGTGGTAATATAGATGCCCTGCTGGTGTACTGTAATAGGTGATATGTAAAAGTGATAATAATATTTGGTGTTGTGATATTTAAGCCTTGATCACTATCAGCATGTTGTTTTTTGGATGCAAGCTTTTGAAGTTTACCATCAATATCTTGTAATTCGTTTAAATGGAAGGCTTTCAAATGTTCCTTTGCTTTGATTTTCTCTCTGAAAGGTTATGCCAAAAAGAATCCGACCCGACCGTGACAGTGGCCCGACGCCACTGACTCATCATTTACTCAAAATAACTTATTTTCAATTTCAATTTCAAAGCACTAATTCGTATTACGAAATATAATATAATTACATTTGGATAATATTTTAGTTCATGTGTGATATTTTGCATGTTGCTGAGTCCATAGTGCGCACAATGTTAGATTTAGCATTTAATAATAACTCTGACATTGGAATAAAATTTATTTTCATCAAGAAATTGGTAGGGACAACATATTGTAACTGTGCATGCGTTCGCTTGAAATTCCCAGTACATATATATATATATATATATATATTATATGTATCATCTGTAGCTAGTCTTTTCTGGGCATTTGACATAATATTCAATGCAACTTTTAGCTTCTCGTCATATTTTTCTAAAACAACGGATACAATAAACCCAATATATATATATATATATATCACTTTCATCTGAATTGATATCAGCATCATCATCATCCTTGCCTTAACTCAAATGAATGGGCTCGGCCACATGAACTCTCTCTGTACAAACTTTTCTTCTTCGTTAGTATGACATGAATTCTCTCTGTACAAACTTTTCTTCTACATTAGTATGACATGTACAAAGTAAAAATTGAACTCTCAAAATCGGAAATCCTCCTTTATCTTCCTCAACTGACTTGAATATGACTCTCTCTACTGGATGCTGAGTGTAATTTTTGGGGGTGTGTATTTATTCATCATTATATATAATGAAAATTTGAGTCCTTGTACATATTCCTTCTAGTTTAAACCACATAACACAGAAGAAATGAGAGGGGAGACATACTGCACCTGACATTGGTCCTCAATTTCGGTCGCTTCCATTTGGTCAGCTTGAAATAACTCATCGGCACAATTTCGGTCGATATCAATATCATTATCACCTCCATTGACATCCTCATAAAATTGTTGCTGAGTTCCTGCAATATCAGTGAAAGTTAGCTTGTGAAATGTTCTAGTCTCTTTCCATAAAGTAGCCGGGGCACATTAAAAGTACCTTCTAATAGGCTTGGTTCTGCAGAAGGGATTCTCGTTAAGAGTTTCTGGCACATGATAATATCCTGGAATTCAAGGAAAGTGTAATCCAGGAAACTGTGTCTCTCAGATTTTGTCATTTTTGAAAACCCGAATGAAGTAATCCAACTGTTCACGACGCCAGGAACAGCAGGCAAAACTAGCCTCTCGATTCCTAAATCCATGAGCATCTGAAAACAAATGTGGAAAACTATTAAAGGAATGACAAAATGTAAACCATATAGGCATAAGATGTTATCCTAACCAATAAAACGATTATAAAGACACCCGTGAAAAACGCAGTGCTTATAGAAGCAGACATCAGCAAGTAATACTATGAAAAACGCAGTGCTTATAGAAGCAGACATCAATAAGTACAGAATTGATAATGAATGACTAAAAATTTACTTACTTGGGGAAAAGAAGAAGTAAAAATAAATTAAAAGAAAAGATAGCACTAACAATTCTAAATGAAAGATGCTCTAACGTACTGATCCAATTTATAACAATCCCCAGAAGAAAATCAAATAACACTTTAGAGACCGAAGAGAACTATGGCATTTATATAATACATTCATTTCATATAAAACCTACATCAACTAGAATCGATGCATTATATCTTGGGTTTCAAACCACCAATAGCATCAGTGATAGAACAACTAAATGTTAAAACCACAAACAAACTGTGTTCGACAAAAGTTCATACCAGCACTTCCCTTACCCCACACCCCTATCCATACAAGCACATAAAAAAATAAAAAAAAATTACCTTTTCAAGCCCATTCATCAAGATGTGACACATTCCACGATTGCGAAAATCACTCCGTGTACCAACAAGCGGTACTTCTGCCACCTTTTTACCATAAATCCTTAAGAAGGAAAAAGAAACAGATATATTAAATTACAAAAAAAATATAAAAAAAAAAAATGAATGTATTTCATTTCATTATAGTCCCACAAAACAAGAAGAATATAGGTTCAAATCAGATCTGCAATTACGAATACCTTACAGCAGCAGCTGTAATCAATTCATCATATCCTTCCAAAATGAATGTATAAAACCCTTTGAAGTTCAAACGCCTGAGCCCTGAACTGCAAAATTTGCAAAAAAACCCATCAGTCTTGGAGCAATGATAAGGGGTGTCATTAAGTAAAGAATAGAGGAACTATCCAAGGACACTGACAGACAGACATAACTTTACATGCCAACAATAATGTAATGAAAAACATCACAAGGTTTAGAGGTAGATGAAATCAATTAAAAGTAGTGATCTAAAACTTTTGTCAATGGCAGACCTAAGCAAAAGTATTCACCAAATATATCTTTCATCAAACTAACACAAAACGGGGAAGGTTTGTCCAACTTTAATTTAAAAAAAAAAAAAAAAAACTTCTTTTGGATATATCAAAGTCATTCTAGCTGGTGATAGGATTTATAACATGTCATCCTATAATAAGAAAGAATACTATCTATTGAGTACCCTTCTTTAATTATACACATCTTTATAATAATGTATGGCTGGGAACCATTTATATTTGGCATGCTAGAGTTCAGAATAGGGACTTGCTTGGTAGAGTGGTAAAAGCTTTACTTCTCAAACGTGAGAACGCATATGTGAGCTTGAGGGCAGCCTCTTTGTACAAACGAAGCCAAAGGTTAGGTCTGTACCCGCTCCACCCCTCCCAGCACTCTCGGCTAACGACTAACACTAGGTAATGGGCCTAATGACGTATGTAATTGTTTAGGGTCCATGCCATGAGGAAGAGACAACATACATGATGGTGCAAAGAATCTGTTGTAATTATACAGATAGGTACAGAGATGTGAAGGAAAGTGAGGTAAGAGAGTTATGAGTTATTAGTGACATGGGATTGATATTCAAAGCTGAAAGAGAAGATCATTGAAGTAGTAAACCTGATATTGAACAAACTTTAATAGAAGAGACACAAGGAAGCAAACAAAAGAGGTTTCCTCTATCAAGGGAGAAAACTGAGGCCATGAGAAAAACTTTTGACAAAAAATGAAGTCATAAACACAGTCACATACCACTAAAACAACGAATTACAGAACTGTAAGAAAATCAACGTTACCGCAAGTATAAACAACCTGATTACAAGGCATTGCTAGAATACCAATAACTAAAATATAAATCTGAAATCAGAAAAAATGGAATTTCAACGAAGAAGTAGAATACGAACAAAGTCACAAATTACTAAAACAAGGAATAACATAATTTTAAGAATATTAACATAACCACAAGTACATATAATCCGATTACATGGTATGACTAGAATATCAGTAAAGGAATTATAAAACTGAAATCAGAAAATAAATAAATAAATAAAATAGCACTTTCTAGTTCAACAGTTAACAAGAAAAATAAAGACTATCACGAGGTTAACAGGTGAATTTGCATGACTTCTAAGGTATACATCGAGTAACAATATAAGCAATGTAGTGTTGCTGAGACAAAACACACGGAGACATGCACAATAATCCATGAAAACTGGATTTGAAGATAGAATTATCTCACCATCTGCTGAAGATAACATCTTCAACAAGATCCCTCGAGCGAAATTCTTTTAGAGGCTTAAAACACTCGTGCATTAAACCAAGGGCATCAACGAGCTTGTTGTTATTCTCCAGTGATGCATCATAATCAGAGGCATCATCTTTGTCACGTTTCGTGTATTTCAATAGAGTCAAGGTTAAATCATCTTTACCCAGTGAAACTGGCTTACCCAAAAGCTTGCGAAGGCTGATAAATATCTGCATAAAGAACAAAAGAGTATCAAAACCCACACATATTATTATGTTTAAAAAGGTCCCATCTATGAGATGGTATACACCAACCATACATGTTAGTTATGTTTATCATGCCCCTAAAATTTTACATATTACTTACAAGCACAGTCAATGAAGCATGGCCTTCAACCATGCTCTTTATTAGTCTAATTTGTTAGATAATCAGGATAACCATGTTTTTCACATAAGTGCTCCCAGGCAACCATTATCTCACTTACCCAAAAAAAAAAAAAAAAAAAAAAAAAAAAAATCATTATCTCAATCATTTAAATCACAAAACACATCTGAAAAAGGTAAAAAAAATAAAAAATCACAAACCACATCAAAAAAATTCCAACAAAACTAATATAATACTTGAACTAAATTCATATAATATTGGTAAATACACTAATGACTCTGGTCTTGCAATGGGTTGAAAAACTTTAATAGCCTTGGTAACTCAGCTCCAAATTGTTGCACCTCAGTAGCACAATTATTTTTAATGCTTCTTTAACGCTATGATTTTCCAATAAGAGGTTACAATGAGGCTTCACTAAACACATAAGAACGTGAGGAATAAGATCTTCCTGAAAGAGCAAGTGAAATATCTACTATTAGAGTTCCTTTATTAAGTCTTGGATACTCCAAAGGTTGAATGCTAGTATGGATGAAGAGACTAGAAGACTTACTTGAGTGCTTATTTCCCAGTTGCATATGTGACTGCCTCTGTTCAAATATGTGAAAACCTAGTTATATATTAATCTTGCATTCTTCATTACCTGTATTTGCTTCTTCAGACCCAAGCCTGAAAGTTAGTTCCATAAAATTACATTAGCCAACCGGGAAGGTAATGCACTCAAGCTTGAGGATTGTTAGTATTGGAACCAACACCAGCTCAACTGAAAACTCAAAACCCCTAAATCCCTAGAAATATCAAACCATGTATAAAAAAAGACTAGCCCAGTGCACGAGGCTCCTATCACTGCGGGGTCTGGGGAGGCTTTGACATACACTGCCGTATCTCTGTATGTGGAGAGACTGTTTCCTACTTTGAAGTTTGAACCCATGACCTACAGGTCACAATGGAGCAACCTTACCGTTGCACCAAGGCCTGCCCTCGTATATCAAACTATGTGTGTGTGTGTGTATATATTGTTGGACAGCGGAAGCGTGCAAACTTGCTCTGATATTTTACGTGGTTCGGCCGAAATCGACCTACATTCCTGGAGAGAAGAAAATTTCACTATACTGAATCAAGAAGAGAATATACAACTGCAAAGAATGCCCACTCCCTTACTACCTCATGAGAAATTACACCAGTAGAGACTTTGAACACTTAACCGTGTACACACACTCTCTGCTCAAGGTATGATGTCAGATATTCGAGCCTTTCACGGTCTACCACTCTTCACCATCGGTGTTCTACCCATTCATTATCTCTATCGCCACACACACCAATTTCTATGAATTTGCATCTCTCTACTCTCACCCACTCTCTTCTCTTCTCACTCACTCACTCCATTCTTTTTCTTCTCTACCTTCTCCACCCAACTCCCTTTCTATTTATAGAGAGTTCCTAACCCTAGCTTGATGAACAATTAATAGAAAAAAGTATAATAGTTTCTGCTCTTTTTATTCTTGCATCAACAGCTGAAATCTGCAAATTAATACTGGCTATTCGTTCTTGTAAGGAGCGCAGGAAAAAAGAGGGAATCATGCCACATCAGAAACTGAAAGAAACAAGCTTATTTTATCAATTTAAGCAAGAATTATGTCCATGTTGGTTCAAATCAAAGTGCAACTAAGGCAAATAAAGTACAAGTTATTCACAAGGTTTTAAGATTTTAATACAAAGATAAAAAATGATGCTTCTGAAGAAGACAACTTGAAAAAAAGATACACGTGAACAAAAGCAAAGTCTAAACAAAACTAGTGTTAACCCTAAAGCTATATAAAAAAGGAAGGAAATGTCTGAAATACCTGTTCACAATTTTTATTGCAAAACCAATTTCCTTCAGGATTACTGTCCAGCTGCATAAGACCTAGCTTCCTTAGGCATCCTGCATGGTCTGAATAAAATTGATGTATACATCAGAAACATATATAACTGCAGGTTTACATGCATACGAACATATATACTATGGTGTGAATTTGGTCCAAGGGCCGGAGGCACATCCTGGCTTCCCAGGCCCAATTTTATTCATGTCAAGAAGGCACCACACATCAGACTGGCATCCCGGCCATTTATGCCTGATTATTGTAGAAAAACACAGAAAGATGGAGGATTCACCTAATATTATTAGTTTGGACTAGTTTGGTGTTCGCCTACCTGGCCAATAAGTATCCATCTAAAAAGTTGCTCTCCAGGGAAAAAAAAGAAAAAAAAAATGTCTAGCTCTCAAAAGTTGGTTTTAATTATTATAAAATTACTTCATTTTTGAAATCAAGCTAGTGTCAGGTGGGAGATGCTAGGTGAATTTTCATCCATCTAATATTTTTATTAGAAAATCATATTAGGTCAGGCTGACTAAACACCTGAAATGAAATAGAATAATAGTATAATAATAAAAAAAATAGATAATAGAGTCAAAGAATATATTATAATAGTTTATGTGGTGACAAGGAGAGAGGAAAGCCTTCCAAAGGTTATGTAGATCCACAACTTGATCATCTCATCTCAAGTTTATTGTAGTTTAATCTACCACAAAACACATGACTCTACTTGAACACAAAATTATAACTAAACCTAAAATACCACAACACTCTAGCAGGCTCATTAAATCGATGTCATTAAAATAGTTATTTTGAGTTACAGTTTAAATTTACTAATTGTCACTTAATAACTATTTAGTTTATAAGTTTATTTTATTTTATTACTCAGTACTGATTTTGCCTACATGGGTGCCCGGTGGCTCAGTGAGTGGATTAGGATTATTTTGGAAGTGACTGATCTCAGACTTAAAACCACTTCCTTGGGCATGTCAGTCCGAACTATTACCATTGCACCAGCAATGACCCCATCACCCCTATGGATATGTGAGTGTGCTCATAATATAACACAACTACAAAGTACGAACAGATCACAATTAACTCACATTGATGCTCGCACTGATCACAAATGAGAACACTATTCTCCAATTGTTTAGCGTCTTGGTCAAATTTGCTTTCGTGACAAATTCCACAACAGCATGACGGGCAGAACCAGTCACCTTCTGGAATATCCTAAATAAACAACAAAATTCAGTTCAACATTAAAAACTCATAATATTCAGTCATATATTCTTTAAAAAAAAATAAACAAAATTGGAGCTAACATATTCGCAAAAATCAAAATATTTACCTTCAAACCAAGGCAATGAGTATGAAATGAAGATGGACATTGATCGCATAAAATTAATGTACCCCCAAAGTTACAGACATAACATATGCGATCATTTGCTTTGTGATGCCTCTTACCGTTCATCTCATGTGTATCTGTTATAAAGCTTCTACTATTATCATTAGATTTGAGTTGCAACTGGCATTCTGATAGAGACCTTCCATCCTCTAAAAAAATGTTGGCAGATGGTCGGTGGTAAGTGCTGCCAGCATGAGCTTCGAATTTAGTAAGTGTAAAAAAGTTTTGGCAACAACTGCATAGGATCCCATCACGAGTTATCTGCCCTTCTGCCATTGAATGATGATCCTTTTTGTTACGGTAATGCACTTTCGCCCCAGGCAACACCACACCCTTGTCAATTAACCAAGACAATACAGTTCGAGAACCGTGGTAAGAGGAAGAAGGAACCTCTACCTTCTTGACTCGTTTTCTAGATAGAGGCACACTTTTTGGAGAATCGTCATCCGAATCACGTGTTAATTTGAATGAAGAATTTTTAGATTCTTGGCCATTCTTCAGAATTTGGGATCTAGCATTTTGGTCCTCCTTATGAAGCAAGTGCGATGCAAAGTCTAGTTCATTACTTTTTTTCTCTTTTTGGAGTTCTCTAATACCTTGGACTTCTACTTCATCAAGTTCAATAAGTTTCCTTGATGGTGACAAACTAGAAGGTTCTGTTGCCCAGTTTTCAGGTAATGCATTTTGGAGTAACAAATTTCCCTTCATCTCACCAATTAATGGTGAAGATGGTTTATCACCAGCTAACTGCTCGGCATCCTCATTGGCACTTGTAGTTTGCTCTGGTCTACTGGTAGAAACACCAAAACCAGATAATCCTCCTTCATTTATATAGCATCTGCAGGCTTCTCGAAGAGAATAGTAAACTTTACTTGGCGATTGATACCGCAATTCCCATCTAGCTTGCTTCCAAGCTGCAAAGAATTTCCACCCAATAAATGAGAGGTGCTTCTTTACTATAGGAATTAAGTCTTTAGATTCTTTCCGCTTGCTATAGTGGTCATCCTTATCCCGTAATGTAAGCAAATAATAGTTCCACACGGCTTGAGGACAATATTCAGGTTCAACATCTATATATTGACGAGGACGCTTGACAGCTATCTCCTTCCTCACTGTTGGTTTTTTTCTCAATAAGTCTTTAGCATCTTTCCGCTTGCTATAGATCCTAAAATTACCAGGATTTAACAATGGACTTGATGAAGCCGGAGGTTCCTCACACAGTATTTCCTCAGGGCAGGGCATTTTTGAGCTTGTTGGAAGATTGAAATCCAATCCACCTTCCTCCATGAAACCCCAATCAATGTCCTCTTGAGATGGAACACTAGCATTAGTGGGATTAGTTGGAGGTAGCAATCCGGTCTCTGAGCCATCATCTTGAAAGGGTACAACATCATGAGGTTCAGATAATTCCAGTGCCTGCTGGGATTCCTGGACCAAGCCCTCCGGAGGATCCAATTTGAGAAAAAATTCGTCTAGAGTTAGCTTAAAATTATCATTAAGAACATCCAACACCAGATCTTCCCAGATAGATCTGGCAGAACAAATCCACTCCTTAAGCTTCACAAAACCCTCTTTGCCCTGTAAGTCATACCACATTTGCCTCACAGAAACTTGAAGGGGCCACTCTGGCTCTAATTCCTCAATGAACTCGAGAAATAGCCAATTCCCACGAGGCTTCCAATCTTCGGTAAACTCATCCCAATCCTGAGTAATACGTAACATCTCAATTCCAAACTTCATTACTTCATCTGTATCCGGAAAGAAAATCTTTCTTTGCTCCGAACCATCTTCATGGTCAAAAATCACACCTTCCCACCAAGCCTCCTTGTAATACACATCAACACATTGTGCATAGTGGGGAGACCATTCTGCAACATGAAGCAGAGGTGGTAATGGCCTTATCAGGCCACGACAATGAGACTGTGTCATGTTGTTCGAAACGATCCCATCAACAATGGAACTAACTCGTACACGTTCAGTGAGCATTTCTGACTCATTATCACATAAAAGATGTTCATATTTCACCCGACGAGCCTGTTTTTCACGGGCAATTACAGTTCCAACGTGCCATGACCCCTTTAAACCTTCTTCACGACTCCTTACCTGAAATAAAAATCACATTTTTTACAAAAAAAAGTCCTTGAAATTGAAACTGAAAAAACAGCTATAAAAGCAACGTATTGACGAAACCAATGCACACTTTTTTACCCCATAAAACCCCAAAATAAGGATTGCATGAACACTATAGATAAAAAAGGAAAAGCATTCATGAAACACATGGAACTTTTTTGTCCCCTTGGTATGGAACCATAAACTCGTTAACCAAATAAAATCCATTATGAAGTAATTCAATTACGATAAAAAAGATGAAAAGAAAAATCTGAAGTATTAATTAAAATCCACAAACTTGTTAAACCTCTAGAATCCTAACTTAATAATTGCATGAACAGCTAGAGAGACAGAGAGGCTGTAAAAAATCAACACAATCATAGAAACTTTGCAAAAGTATACAAAAACCCTTGATGAGATAAACATATAAATGATATATAGACAATTAAGTATAATTATAAATTAAACTAAATACTATAAATTTCTTTGATTACTAAATTAGGCACACATAGATTAAAGAATAATTGTTTATACTGAATTCAATAATAACCAAATCAAACAATAAAATTATAAGTTTTTAATTGCTAAATATTGCACACATAAAACACTTCCTCAGCTCATACACAGATTTATGACTGAAAAAACAGCAAGTTGTAGGGCATTACCGCAACACCCCTATCTGACTATAATTTTGCAATGAAACTATCATACAATACATATTTATGTGTATGTTGTATAACATTACCTAGTTCGATCAGGCAGAGTGTTGGAGAGGGAAGACTCGAGACAGACCTAACCTCTGAGATTAAACTCGCACCAATGTCACTGATCATGATCCATCCATTGTTAAGATTCAATTAAATTTTCCTAATGTTGCGTTCGGAGCACCGAATCCACCCCTTGGATTTGGAACTGAAACAAGTTTCCTCCAATTCCAAATCTAAGCCGCCCCAAACATAGCATAAGTCTCAAAACTACAGTGGTGATTTATAAAAAGAACTCATGCTCTTATGAGCCATATTCTTAAAATAATACTTATTCATATTTATATATATATATATATATATATATGTGCATAGAAAGAGAAAGAGGAAAAAAAAACCATACAAATTATATACGTTCAAATCAAACTAAAAGGCAAGATTATTGTATACTGAACGAAAAACACAAAGACAAGAAATCAAGAATATAAAAATTACCAAACAAGAAAACAGAGCCTAGAGACTGAAATTATTGTACACAAGATTAAAACAAAAATTAAAGTAAAAAAAAAAAAAAACAGAAAACCCAAAATAACAGAAATCACAACCCATTGAAATAAAAACGAACACAATCATATACACATATGTATAATGATATAAATCATAAAAGCAAAGCCACATTACTTCAACTTTGTCACCAACAATAAGCTTTGGGTTGTTGTTTTCTATTTTGCGCTTCTTTTTCCAACCATCCGAGACTTCAGTCTGGAACGCCATTGGCGAGAACTATGAGGTTTTGTGTTCGACTAATACTTAAATTCGAGGAGTACTAAGAGAAACCAATTTAGTGAGAGAAAAAGAAGGAGACTCTTATTGACCAAGGAAGAAACTCTGTGCCTCTCTCTCTCTCTCATCAGATTACATTCCCTTTCTCTCTCTACTTATATACGTTTCACGGTCAGCGCGTAATTACCGAGAAACCCTTTTGGTAATGTGGCGGGCCTCCTCCTAGGGAACCCTAACTAAATATTGTGTTTTCATAAACAATTCCTCCCCAAAAAAAAAAAAAAAAAATTATAATGACTTTGTAAACTCTAATTACTTAACAAAAATACCATTATACACTTTTCGTTGTTTATTAGGTTATCAAATTTTATATTTAAGTTTTAAAATTTAAATGATTGTAGCAGTTTCACTTTTGTATAGATTTGAATTTAAAATTCTATAGTCCCTCGGATTTATTTATCTTCTTTCTTTCCTTCTTTGATAGGGTGATAGGTGAACGCGGATTGCTTTGTTTTTTCAACTAAACACAAGGGTAGTTTAGTCTAGTTGTAATGAAGTGATCGGGTAGAAGTTGAAATGCAACGGGAAGGGACGTTGCAGACGAGAAAGTTTTGGGTACTACGGGATAACGAGCAACAAATAGTTGTTATACACGACGATATTGTAAATTTTTTGAAAATGTGACGTAGATGTAAAGGGTAATGGTTGCGAAGATACAAAGGAAGACACGGTTGTATTATAAATTTTGTAAACGTTTTGACACGATGATAAAAGACAAATTTTATAAAAACATGAGATAGATGTAACGACAAATGGTACGATACGAACATCACGATAATGCAAATCTTATAAAAATATGAGATAGATATAATGATTAATGGTTCGATACGAATACTATACATAATATCAATATAGACACGAAGAAACTGAAAATCGTATAAAAATATAATAAATATAACTTCAAAATACTAAAATCATATAAAAATATGTGAGAGATATAATGAGTAACCACGGACACAACGATAAGACAAATTTTATAAAAATATGAGATAGATGTACCGTTTGTATAAAAATATAAGATATATATAACGATTAACGGTTCCATACATTCTAATACCGACACGATATGGAATGTCAATGCGGACACAAAAATACTGCAAATGGTATAAAAATATGAGAGATGTAACGATTCAATACGGACATGAAGATATTGAAATCATATAAAAATATGTGAGAGATATAACGAGTAACGCTTCGATACAAACACAACCATAAGACAAATTTTATAAAAATATGAGATAGATATACCGTTTGTATAAAAATATAATATAGATATATATAACGATTAACGGTTCGATACATTGTAATATCAATACGACACGATATGGAATGTTAATACGGACACGAAAATATTGCAAATGGTATAAAAATATGAGAGATGTAACGATTCAATACGGACATGAAGATATTGAAATCATATAAAAACATGAGAGAGATATAACAAGTAACGCTTCGATACGGACACGACAATAAGATAAATTTTATTAAAATATGACATAGATGTTAAGATAAATGGTTCGATACGGACACGATGAAAATGCAAATCTTATAAAAATATGAGATAGATGTAACATTAACAATTCAATACGAACTGAATACTAATTTTATATACGGACTATAATGTACAAATACAAATATAGATAGAACATATAGACATCATCATTCAATATAGACACGAAGATGTATCAAATCTAATAAAAATATTATATAAATATATATATATATAAGCATTTAAATTGCGTTGGACCTCATTTATTTTAAAGCGAGATAGTTACATAACCACTTTACAGGAATAAGCTGCAAACAGTTCAGGTGCAACTCGTCGTTCGGTTCGGTTCCATCCATGTAGGCTTTATTGAAGGGTTAAATTAGTCTGAGGGTACTGGATTAGTGAAAATTACAGCGAGACAAGTGTATTTTATTGGGTGTGTTGGAAGAGAACACTTGCACAAGAGCAAGAGACAGTTTGAGTGAATGACAAAGCTTGTATTACAATTAGAACTATTTGATAACAAGTTGGTTGCTTGGTAAGAGCAAATGAACTCTCATCTCCTGATATAGACTAATGCTCTTACAATAAATGGCTAGAATCTATATCCACATCCACGTCTACGATCAAACAGTTAAGAGAATTTTAGAATGTGACTTTAGAACAGAATAAACTATAGAAGTCGAGATACATCTGTACAAAACTAAAGAATAAACTATAAAAGTCGAGATACATCTATACAAAACTAATTTAGAGAATTCTTTATTTAGAGAAATAAGTTCTTACACCTCTTTCATTTACTTCCGTAGCCTCAGTTTTTACTAAACTAACTAAAGTTTGAAATATGCTTGAAAGTATTTTAGAGGCTGCATGTGTTTTACGGATTTTAACTAATTGAACTTTTGAATGGAGCTAAAATTTATATTTTTTAAACGTTTATATTTTAGGTAATTATTTTTCATTAAATTTTTTTATTTAATTTTTTTTAAAGATATAACATGCTATTATTAATTATGGTAACATTAGTAATTTGGTGTTTGATGATTACATTAACTATTTAATTTATTTTATATTGTTTAAAGCTATAGCTCTTGAATGAACTTAAAATTTTAATCTTTTAAAAAGTTGTAAGTCAACATTTCATATATTTTTGGTGACTATTTTTCATTAGATAATTTTATCTATTTTTTAATAAAGACAATTAATTTCATCCCTCCTTTCATGAAGTGATACTATTATTAATTATGGTAATATTCTTTTAAAGGATAATATTGTAAAATTAATAATAAAAGTGCTTATAACAATATTATTACCTATTAATTAAATAATTAATATATCGTCAAACACCACATACATTTTATTAACAATAGTTTTATGACTGACAAGTTGCATTAACCCCTCCACTTTATATTTTTGACACAAAATTAACCTAAATCACCTGAATTATACAATTGTTACAAATTGATGTTATAATGACAAAAAATGACCCTTAATATAAATTTAATAAAATTTATATTCTCTGTAAATTCATTTTAGGTTTTCTTTTCCTTTTTAATTTTTGAAAATTTCAGCTTTAAGAAAAGTTTAAAAATTACACACCATTAAAGTGATGTTATAATGTCAGAAATTCTCCTAAATATAAATTTAAGAAAATTTAGGTTGCCTTTAAAATAATTTTTTTTCATGTTTTCTTTTCCTTTTTGATTTTTTAAAGATAAAAATTATAAAAATTGTTAATTTTTAACAACACTATGTTGAATGAGTTATTTGTATTAATTTTTAATCTTATATATATATTATATGTTTTAAGAGGCACTATTTTCTTAAGTTTATATTAACGGGCATTTTTGTCATTATAACATCTATAACGACCCAAATCTGGGGATCTAGATCGTTAACCGAGTTTTTACCCGAATCCGAATTCACACAAGGGTACTATGGTCATTTCACGTCATTATAATAGTTTTTAGAGTCCATAATGGTATAATAGTCATTTACCCTAGTCAAATAATGGTTTAAAACCCAAAAGGGTAAAGTAGTCATTTAATACGTTATTTATAGCTTCTAAACTCATCAGGGGTAAAACGGTCATTTTCTATGGCTATTCTGTGCTTTAGATGAAGTCTTGGGACAAATAGGTAAATATAATGAAGTTTGGGGTTAAAGTATAAATACCAGCTCATCTAAACGGTTAGATGGCTTAGTCCAAAGAGCATGCAAATATGAGGACCCATCTAACCGGTTAGATGGAAAAATCCATCTAACCCCTTCACTGCCCCACCTAACTAATCGGTTATATGGGAGCATCTAACAGATCAGATGGGTTCCGAATCTGATCTAAGTGATTAGATGACCCCATTTAACTGGTTAGATGATGCCCATAAATGAAGTGGTTGATTAGATTACCTCTCAAACCTATAAAGATGAAATCCAAGTTGCTCAAACATCAAATATAAATTTATGCACATCATTTAACTCAACAACAACACATTTGATCACCGAAATAACTCATTGATTCATCATTTAAAGGTCGGAAATCTATATAATCCATTACATACATACTCCAAAAGAATAATCCCATATCTAAAAGAATAAGTTTATAAAATAATAAGGCATCGCCGTGATTACAAGGCCTTCCAATGAAGCTAACAAAATAATAAGGTTACATGCATTTGATCATTGCCTACACAATTCTATTACAAAAAGTAACAAAAATACATCAATCAACTTCTAAGCTTGCGGGGGTACCTCTTCGATGACTTCCTTGTCATGCCCTAAAAATATTAGAAGAATGGGTGAGTATAACGGCTCAGTAGGAAATACCTAAAATATTAGTGTGACATTCTGAATTTTTTGGCATTTTTTTGAATTTTCTACATCATTTTACTTGTCAGGCACCGTTTGCGTGCCGTGTGAATCTCGGGAGTTGATTAAGGCATTTTTTAAAATTTAAGACTCTTAGAAATGCATTTCGAATCATTTTACCATTTTTCAAAATTTTGGCCTGGGAGGTCCCGAGTGAGCCCCACACCCGTATTTTTAGTGCTCGGTGCTACTTTTCGGGTTCACTACATTTCATTATTTTTATTTGATGTATGTTTATGTGGTTATGTGTTTACGTGTGCATTTGTGACATATTTTATGGTGCAATGGCATCGAGGGGCATTTTAGACATTGTGTTAATTAAAGCGAGTCTCATTATTTTACCAAGACCATGACTAAGAGTCATATGGTCAAATTTTTTGGCCATTTCTTCCAACTTCTAGCCAAGCCTTCCCTCTTAAATCTCTATATCTCTTTCTCTCTAGTTTTTCATTGTTTTACACACAAAAGCACAGATTTCATCTATCTACACCCATTTTCTATCTATGCCATAGAAGGCAAAGTTATATAGCTCAACGAGGGTTTCGATTTGATCGGAGGTGACATTGGGATTTTGAAA